CGACCTCTTGAATCGACCGTGACCACAAAATTTGCAGCTTGTAGCATCCGCATCATCCTCCCAATACAATATACAACCATTATTGCAACAATCCATATTTTCACATGGTAAACTCATTACCTGCAACAACTTCTTGGTTTTGTAGAGGCATTGTATTATCATAACGGGAAACTTCACTCGCAAGTTGCATCATGTCATCATAGTTTCGTTCAGACATGTGATGCTCGGCTTTCATATGCATCGCTCGGGCAACAAATGATAATTGCGAGTGTGTTGTGCAACCGTGCCATAACTCTTTGTCAACAACATTTATCATGCCGTAAAATATCTTTGTAGCAGGATTTGGAGGTTCTTCAGAATTTGGATGAAGTTCAAGACCAACAGCATCCATAACAATTGTGTGGTAGTTCATCGTCGTTTCTGCATTTCCACCATAACGGACGGATGGACTATCATTTTCATTAATGTATGACTCTCCATGTCTATCCCATATATAGTAATCTGGTACAATGCCATATCGTGCAAAGTGATACCTAACTTCGTCAGTTTGCGATTTTGACACATAGCACAAGGACACCAAATTTTATCCTCCATTCTACTTGAGTGCAAGCAAAGTCAATAAAAGACTCTAGTCCTTCTAAGAACTCTCTAGTTAAAGCCCCACTTTTAAATTGATTATACATCCATACATGTTATTCATTAATTTTTATTCCTTGAAGTATTTCACCTATTGTTCAAGAAAAGCATTGATGTAAATGACATTTGAAAACTAGAGGTATTTTTATGTCAAAGACAACCAAATATAGTACTCAAATATGTAATACCACAACAATTTAGAAAAACCACAACAAGTTACTAAAGTACAAAAAACACAACAATGGCAGAAAAGTGAAATCATGTGACAAATAATAAGAGTTTTTTGGTAATTAAACTAAAGTATAACTCACAATGTTCTTGGTAAAACACAATTGAATAACTTAGATAGACATGATATGTAGAGATCCGTCAGAGATAATATTTTTATAATATTTCATAAACTTAGAAGTTAAAAGTACCATTAGTTCAAACATATATATTAAGTCAGAAATTCTATGAAGTCATCGAATGGTTTTATTATGGAGCTATCCATCACTTAATGTATTGACACATGTCCACAATATATTTCTTGTAAGACATGTGTCAATACATTATTTGTGAATAAGTGTGGATGGCTCCATAAGTCGTGTTGTCCGATGGCTCAATCGCAAAACTGTATATTAAGTTATCTAAGTTCATGCGAGATTGTGCCTATAACAGAGCAAATTGTGCCCATAGCAATGTAGAGGATCAATCTTGCTTGGTACCAATTCAAATCAAATCAGCATTTGCAAACCTTAGTTAGAAGTAAATATACGTAACAATCCTGTTGAAGACTATATAAAAGATATACTCACAACTTCAAGTAAATGTTGTAAAGCAAGTTTTTGAGCCGTTTCTGATGAGCCTTTCCCTACCTGCAACACAAAACAAAATAAAATAATATTCAATCAAACAAACATAATAATCAACATAACAGTAGAAAAAACGAGATTTAAA